AAGGTGAAGTTCCATGATAGGCTGTCTGCAAGCTGGGGAAAGAGAGAAGCTGGTTTCGTGGCTCAGTCCAAGTCCAAAAGCCTCAAAACCAGGAAGCCAACAGTGCAGCCCTCAGTTTGAGGTGAAAGGCGTGAGAGCCCCTGTGAGGCCTCTAGTGCAAGTCCTAGAGTCCAAAGGCTGAAGAACCTGGAGTTTGATATGTAAGGGCAGGAGAGGAAGCCAAGCATCTGGCACAGCATGAGAGAGGGAGCACACTCAGCAAGCAATCTGCTTATCCCCCTTCTTCCTCCTGCTTTGTTTGGCTGTGCTTGGAGCTGATTGAATGGTACCCCATCCGCATTGAGGGTCCTGCTGAACATGTAGACTAGTTCCTCTCAGTCCGCTCACTCACGTGTCAGGCTTCTCTGGCACCACCCTCACAGACATACCCAAGAATAGTGCCTCATCAGCCATCTAGCCATCCCTTTGTCCAGTCGACACTTTATATTAACCATCACAACCCTCACCATTTTATTGGCATAAATACAGGTATCAAGATAATTCTGGACATATTTTGGATTTTTGTTTTTTTTTTAATTTTCTTTTTCTTGTACATATTTTGGATGCTACTAAAAGCACCTGCAGCACTTCAAAAATTAACATAATTTGTATTCATTGTACCTGCTACTTTAAACAGTTTTGGCTGCAGCTCTTTTACTAAGCAAAATGGATAAAGCATGCCATTTCTGTTTTTGCTTAAGATTTTTACTTTTCAGAAATACATTCCACTGCCATCTCATACTTCTAGCCATGCTTTCATCTTGTAAACCTGAATTCTGTCTCCACGTTTATGTTTAAATGACAGTGCCCTAACAAGAGAAAAAACAATTGTGCTGTGTTTTTCTTCCCATTACCTGAAAACATTATGCATGTGTGTGTGTATATATATATAAAAAATACATTTTAATATATATATTATACATTTATTCAATAACATACATGTATATAAAATACATTCTTACAGATGTCCAGGTCATGTTTACAAGCAGAAATTCTTTTACTTTATGTGGGTATTTTGCATTGTGATATCTAATTAAAACATTAACATGAGTAGAAAGTTGACTTAAGTTTAAAATCCACTGTATTTTTCTTTTTTTTGAGATGGAATCTTGCTCTGTCCCCCAGGCTGGAGTGCAGTGGTGTGATCTCGGCTCGCTGCAGTCTCTAATCTCTGCCTCCTGGGTTCAAGTGATTCTTCTGCCTCAGCCTCCAGAGTAGCTAGGAGTACGGGCATCCACCATCATGCCCAGCTAATTTTAATATTTTTAGTAGAGACGGGGTTTCACCATGTTGACCATGCTGGCCTGGAACTCCTGACCTCAGGCAATCCGTCCACCTCAGCCTCGCAAAGTGCTGGGAGTATAGGCGTGAGCCACTGCACCTGGCCAAGATATACTAAAATTAATTGTCATGGTATAACTTCTGGTGGCTGTGGAAGCTGCTTATTTTCTTTGGATGTCATTAGATGTCTTAGCTCTTAAAGTGCAACTTTAATGCTATAGGGATTTTGCCATTTTGCTAACATTGGTATACTGCATGCATCCACCAATCCACTGGAATTATTTATTCCATTCATAATAATTTTTGTTATAAACCTAATTGATGGAGCTTCTGGGTATTTAGGTCTGCATTCTACTACCAGGTTATATATTCTGCTTTCATTTTTTGTTTGTTCATTTGTTTGTTTGTTTGTTTGTTTTTGAGACAGAGTCTTGCTCTGTAGCCAGGCACCAGGCTGGAGTGCAGTGGCGCAATCTCAGCTCACTGCAGCCTCTGCCTCCTGGGTTCAAGCAATTCTCCTGCTTCAGCCTCCCGAGTAGCTGGGACTACAGGTGCATGCCACCATGCCCAGCTAATTTTTGTATTTTTTAAATAGAGACGGGGTTTCACCATGTTGGCCAGGATGGTCTCGATCTCTTGACCTCATGATCCACCTGCCTAGGCCTCCCAAAATGCTGGGATTACAGGTGTGAACCACCACGCCCGGCCCATTTATTTGTTTTTTGAGACAAGTTCTCACTGTCACACAGGCTGGGGCGCAGTGGCGTGAACATAGTTCACTGCAGCTTCAAACTCTTGGGCCCAAATGATCCTCCTGCTTCATCCTCTGGAATAGCTGGGATCACAGGTGTGCGCCATGATGCCTGGCTAATTTTCTTTGTTTTGTGGAGACCCAGTCTTTCCATGTTTCCCTGGCCGATCTTGAACTCCTGGGCTCAAGCTATCTTCCTACCTCAGCCTCTCAGAGTGCTAGGATTATAGGTGCAAGCCATCTGTTTTGATTTTCTAAGGCATATAGATAGATTTGTCAATCTTTACCTTTATGGTTTATACTTAAAAAATTTTGTTTGAAGCTGGGCACGGTGGCTTACGCTTGTAATCCCAGCACTGAGGCTGAGTTGGGTAGATCACCTGAGGTCAGGAGTTTGAAACCAGCCTAATCAACATCGAGAAGCCCCGGCTACTAAAAATACAAAATCAGCCAGGTGTGGTGGTACATGCCTATAATCTCAGCTACTTGGGAGGCTGAGCCAGGAGAAGCACTTGAACCTGGGAGGTGGAGGTTGCAGTAAGCTGATATCGTGCCATTGCACTCCAGCGGGGGCAACAAGGGCAAAACTCCATCTGAAAAAAAGAATTGTTTGAAATCCTTCCTCACCCTGAATTCATAACAGATAGTCTCCTCTGTTTTCTTCTAAAAAGTTAAAGCTTTTGACAGTTAGTGTTTATTTTTTTAATTTCTTATTTTATTTTGAGACATACTAGGTGTGGTGGCTCGCACGTGTAATCCCACCACTTTGGGAGGCTGAGGCAGGAGGATTGCTATTATCATGCTACTGCACTCCAGCATAGGTAACAGTAAGAGCCCATCTCTAAAAACAAAAACAGAAGGCTGATTGTGGTAAGCTGTTAACGTTGCTTATAAATGCTTTGGAAATGTGTTTTTTGAGAACTGTCGAGTGGCCTTGGGATTGATCTTTTGTGGGAAGGAAGAAGGGTTGCCATTTGTTAATGGTGTTTGTAATTGCTACTGAATTAATATCGGCTGCAAAGCAGCTACTAATTTATTTTCTAGAACTAGAAGAATCAGATAATATGGACATTTTGGATAGGCGTGTTTTTAATTTTCTCAAGATTTCTGAAATTGGTAAGATTATTTCTAATTAGGAAGTTTGGTTGAAAATAAGTTTCTGAACTCTCAAATCTAGTATCTACTTCCAACTTTTAATTAAAAAAAGAAGAACTCTTCAAAGGTTGAATGTGGCTTCATGGATTCTCTAGCATGAGCAAACTAATATATCCAAAACTGAATTCAAACTTTCATCTAAATAATTTATACTTTCTACTTAGCTTTGCTATACTCAGTGTCAGACTGATATCTTAGTTTTGAAACCTTGGTTCCTTTTCTCTTTGTCACTTCTAAGTCTAGTCAGTTATTTGTTGAATGCCATGTATGTGTAAAGCAGTTTCAGATTTCACTCCTGTGAGTTGTCATTTCCATTGCCTTTGGATGCCTAGTTAGGAAAGCTCCTTTCTCATTTCTAACTATACAAATTTTATGTGTTCTTTAAGAACCAGGTTAACTACTGAGTCTTCCTCTTGAAACCTTGCTTTGTTCCTCTAGTTGTAAGTGGCCTTTGCCACTGTACCTCTCTGGTGATGCTCAATTCTGGCATGTTTTATATATATATATATCTGTGTGTGTAATGCCCCTCCCCCAATCTTTTTTTTTTTTTTCTTTTGAGACTGAGTCTCGCTGTGTTGCCCAGGCTAGAGTGCAGTGGCTTGATCTAGGCTCACTGCAACCTCCACCTCCTGGGTCCTTGCAGTCAGCCTCTTGAGTAGCAGGGACTACAGGTGCAGGCCGCCACACCTGGCTAATTTTTTGTATTTTAGTAAAGACTCCAACTCCTGACCTCAGGCAGTCTGCCCACCTCAGCCTCCCAAAGTACTAGGATTATAGGCGTGAGCCACTGTACCCGGCCTCCAGCTAGGATTTTTTATATTTCGCTACCTCTTCCCCGCCTCAACCAAGATCACATATCTCAGTCAGTAACAGTTTTGAAAAAGTTTAAGATTATAGTGCATCTGATAAGAAGTGGTAATGTGAGTACATACCTGTGCTTACAGTCTTCTGAGTACTTTCCATGTATTAACCATTTAATTCCCTATAGTCCTAGGGAAAGGTATGATTATAGTCTGCATATTACAGATGGAAGTGAGACAGAGAAAGATGAAACAGATCCAGGATTGCACAGTTAGTAAAGGGGGTAGAGCTGTATTCAGTCCTAGAGTCTGGTTCTAGAGCATGTAAATCTTTGTCCCTTTTTCTTTTTTTTTTTTTTTCCTAGGCTGACCAAGATTTGTCCCTTTTTTATTAAACTCCAAGGCAACTGGGCAGGCAGACTGGTGCATGAGAGGATAAACAATATTATATCTGAAAATTTCAAGCACGGTATATAGAAATATGTATAGAGTGTCATTGAAGAAAAGTGGAGTGATTTTGGCTCACTGCAACCTCTGCCTCCTGGGTTCAAGTGATTCTCCTGCCTAAGCCTCCTGAGTAGCTGGGACTACAGGTACACACACCACCATGCCCAGCTAATTTTTGTATTTGAGTAGAGACGACATTTCACCATGTTTGCCAGGCTTGTCCCAAACTCCTGATCTCAAGTTATCTCTTTGCCTTGGTGTCCTAAAGTGCTGGAATTACAGATGTGAGCCCCCTCCCCAGCCTCTTTTTTTCTTTCTTTCTTTCTTCCTTTCTTTCCTTTCTTTCCTTCCCTCCTTCCCTCCTTCCCTCCTTCCTGCCTGCCTGCCTTCCTTCCTTCCTTCCTTCCTTCCTTCCTTCCTTCCTTCCTTCCTTCCTTCCTTCCTTCCTTCCCTCCCTCCCTCCCTCCCTCTCTCTCTCTCTCTCTTTCTCTTTCTTTCTTTCTTTCTTTTCTTTCTTTTCTTTCTTTCTCCTGAATCTCTTTTATTGGGGGGAATGGGCCTCTTGGGGGTCCTCACAAGCAGTACCTTTTTCATTGGCACTGCTTCTGGAGTCCTGGGGCTTCATCACATCGGGCAGCTCTGGCGGACCGGAGAACGGCTCGATGCACAGGGCCTCAAAGGTGTCATCTGCCTGGAAGGCCAGCCCCACTCTGGCTGAGGGCTGTGGCCGCGCTTTTTGACAGGTGAAGCCACACTCACCCAATGTCTTACTATCATCCGAGAGTTGGTCGTTCTTGTACAGCTGCTGCTCATCGGGCGGCTGCTTGGGAATGCCCTTGATGATGCGCTTCACCTCAAACGTGATGCTGGATGCCTTGGCATCTGTGAAGATGGTGGTCTTGTGGCACTGGACATGAGGAACCATATCCTGGGGGGCGGTGGGCTGGTGTGTGAGAGCACAGCCTTGGCCCCACTTGTGGCCCAGCTGCCTCTGGCCCAGCCTGCAGCCTTTTTCTTTTTTAGAAATAAATAAAGTTGGCCTGTCATGATGGCTCATACCTGTAAGCCCAGCACTTTGGGAAGCCGAGGCAGGTGGAGCATGAGGTCAGGAGATCGAGACCATCCTGGCCAACATGGTGAAACCCCCATCTCTACTAAAAATACAAAAAAATTAGCTGGGTGTGGTGTCAAACACCTGTAGTCCCAGCTACTCAGGAAGCTGAGGCAGGAGAATTGCTTGAATGGAAGTGGAGGTTGTAGTGGTGTGCTGAGATCGAGCCACCACACTCCAGCCTTGGCGACAGGGCAAGACTGCCTCAAAAATAAATAAATAAATAAATAACATTACAGGCATCATACCGCATACTTATTAAAATTGTATTAATGGTTGTTCTTTTTTTCTTTTTTAATTTTTTCTGATTTTCTGGAAAAATTGTTTGATAACATACGTTGTTCACATTATACCTTTTGCAAAAATACTGAGGGCTTCAGTTTTCTCAGGGGCCTTAGTATTTTTTTGTTTTTGTTTTTTTCGAGTTGGAGTCTAACTTTGTCACCCAGGCTGGAGTGCAGTGGCGCTTACTGTAATCCCTGCCTCCTGGGTTCAAGCTCTTCTCCTGTCTCAGCTTCCTGAGTAACTGGGATTACAAGTGTGGACCATCATAGCCCACTAATTTTTTGTTATGTTTAGTGAAGATGGAGTTTCGCCATGTTCGCCAAGCTGGTCTTGAACTCCTGACCTCACATGATCCACCCACCTTGCCCTCCAAAGCCTTAAAAATTAACTTTTAATTGACAAGTAAAATGATACATATTTATGATATACAACATGATGTTTTTGAAATATGTGTGGGTTGTGGAATGGTTAAATCTAGCTAGTCAACATATGCATTACTTCGTTTTTCTTGTGGTGAGAACACTTGAAATCTCTCAGTTATCTTCAGATAAACAGTTCATTATTATTAACTGCAGTTACCATGTTGCCCAACTTATTGCTCTTAATTGAAACTTTGTGTCCTTTAACCAACATCTCCTACCTTCATCTTTTATTTTTCCTTTTTTTTTTTTTTTTTGAGATGGAGTCTTCCTGTGTCCTCCAGGCTGGAGGACAGTAGTGCAGTCTTAGCTCACTGCATCCTCCGTCTCCTGGGTTCAGGCAGTGTTCCTGCCTCTGCCTCCCAAGTAGTGAGGTTATAGGCACGTGCTGTCACACCCAGCTAATTGTTGTATTTTTAGTAGAGACAGGGTTTCACCATGTTGGCCAAGCTAGTCTTGAGCTCCTGGCCTCAGGTGATCCGCCCACTTTGGCCTCCCAAAGTGCTGGGATTACAGATACGACTATGCCCAGCCTCCTTCATCTTTTAGTATTTAATAAAACAATTCTTTTCTGTCAAGCTTTCATTTTTGTTAATCTCCTCAGTTGTTAACTGGTCTGACCCCGCCATGTCTTTATTTGTTGGTGGCTTTGACTGTGTTTTGAAAACTTTTTTTTTTTGAGACAGAGTCTCAATCTGTCACCAGGCACCAGGCTGGAGTGCAGTGGCGCGATCTCAGCTCACTGCAACCTCCACCTCCCGGATTCAAGCAATTCTCCTGCCTCAGCTTCCCAGGTAGCTGGGACTACAGGTGCACGCCACCACGCCCAGCTAATTTTTTTGTATTTATAGTAGAGACGGGGTTTCACAGTGTTGGCCAGGATGGTCTTGATCCCTTGACCTCGTGATCCACCCGCCTTGCCCACCCTGGCGTACAGTAATGGAATCATAGCTCACTGCAGTGTCAAATTTTTTGTAGAGATAGGGGTTTTGCTTTGTTGCCCAGGCTGATCTCGAACTCCTGGCCTCAAGTTTTCCTTCCACCTTGGCCTTCCAAAAATGTTCGATTGCAGGCCTGAACCATCACACCCAGCCTCAGCCTCTTTTTTTTTTTTTTCTTTTGAGGTGGTGTCTTGCTCTGTCTCCCAGGCTGGAGTGTAGTGGTGAGATCTCGGCTCCCTCCAACCTCTGCCTCCCGGGTTCAAGCAGTTCTTCTGCCTTAGACTCCTGAGTAGCCAGAACTGCAGGTACCTACGTGCCACTGCCTCCCTGGTTTAAGCACTTCTTCCTCAGACTCCCAAGTAGCCAGGACTATAGGTACATGCCACCATGGCAGCTAATTTTTTGTATTTTTAGGAGAGACAGGGTTTCACCATGTTGGCCAGTCTGGTCTTAAACTCTTGACCCCAGGTGATCCGCTTGTCTTGGCCTCGGCCTGAATGTTCTTAATGTCACTGAACTGTACATATAAAACTGTTTAAAATAGTCAATTGTATGTTATATTTTACCGTGGAGTGGGGAACTGTGTAAGTAACTCATACTCATTCACTCGTTTTTATGTAGACACTGGAGATAGAAAAAGGAATTAGATCTGGTACCTACCCTCAAGGAGTAGTTTAGTAATAGTGCATGACTACTGGTTTTCAAGGAAATAGAGGCTCAAGTGGTAAGGAAATGCTGGTACCTTATACAAGTTTTGTAATGTGATAAAAAGATAAGTTCTGGGAAAGTAGTTGTTATGAGTTCTTGACCATTCAGTCTGATCTGCTGAGCGGGGAGAACTCAGATGAGAAAGTTACTTTGCCCCAACATCTCTGCACATCCTGAGACCATGAGTTTAAAAACCACTGGTCTAGGTAGAAGCATTCAGGTTCATCAGTTGGCATGTTTGATCCCTCTCTCCCTCTCTGTCTCTCTCTGTCTCTCTGTCTCTCTCTCTCTCTCTCTCTCTCTCTCTCTCTCTCTCTCTCTGTGTGTGTGTGTGTGTGTGTGTGTGCTGTCTGTCTCTCTGTCTCTCTCTCTCTCTGTGTGTGTGTGTGTGTGTGTGTGTGTGTGTGTGGTGTTGTGTTGAGAACTTGAGGCACAGAATGATAGGGTTATTTAGGGGGCAGAGTCATTCAGCTTGGAATCAGACATAGGCTTGAGTTGTTGCTGAAAGAGCATACTGCTCTTTTTACAGGGTTTTTTTGTTTTTGTTTTTGTTTTTTTATACATATGAGGTGGAGTCTCGCTCTGTCGCTCAGGCTGGAGTGCAATGGCGCGATGTCTGCTCACTGCAACCTTCAACTCCCAGGTTCAATATCATGCCACTGCACTCCAGTCTGGGAAATAAGAGAGTACTATTCTCCTGTCTCAGCCTCTTGAGTAGCTGGGATTACAGGCACATGTTGCCATGCCCAGCTAATTTTTTGTATTTTAAGAGATGAGGTTTCACTGTGTTGCCCAGGCTGGTCTCAAACTCCTGAACTCAAGCAATCCACCTGCCTCGGCCTCCCAAAGTGCTAGAATTACAGTTGTGAGTTACCATGTCTGGCCTTCTTTTTACAGGTTTTGAAGATGGAATTAGTGTCTTACATTCTAAGTTTGCCGGAAGGCTAAATTCTGAATTCTCATGAGACTGTAGTTGTTTAATGGCCATGTGTCTACTCATACCAGGTTGTTGAAGTCTTATCTTTTCACTGTCCTTTTGATACTGGCTCAATTAACAATATTTATTGAGTACTCCTTTGTGCCAGGCGGTTTTCAAGAACTTTACACTTATATTATCCAGTGTTAAAGTGAAGTAGGAACAGTTTTACAGATAAGGGACCACAGATGGTGAGATTAACTTATCCAGGGTCTCACAACTAGTTGTTGGTGGAGTTAGGAATCAAATCTAGGCTTCAGAGCCAGATGTGCTCGTATTATTTATTGAGTAGCTGCTTTGGAAAATACTTGGTGATGACTGCTGACTTTTATTTGCCTTACTCTGAGTTGCTGGGCATAAATATTAAAAAATATCTGTTTCTACCATTTGGGAGCCTTACAGTTTTGAGAATTACTGTTCATTAGGGTTTATTTATTTATTTTTTGAGATAGAGTTTTGCTCTTATTGCCCAGGCTGGAGTGCAGTGGCACAATATTGGCTCACTGCAACCTCCACCTCCTGGGTTCAAGTGATTCTCTTGCCTCAGCCTTCCAAGCAGCTAGGATTACAGGCACCCACCACCACACACGGCTAATTTTATGTTTTTAGTAGAGACAGAGTTTCACCATGTTTGGTCAGGCTGGTCTCAAACACCTGACCTCAAGTGATCCATCTGCCTCAGCCCCCTGAAGTGCTGGAATTACAGGTGTGAGCTACCGTGCCTAGCCAGGGTTTATTCTTATTGGCTGTCTGCACAAAATGCATTTGTTAGACAAATTATGAAGAAAGGGGGTTGACAGCCTTTCTCTCCAAAGGATCAGATGCTTTAGGCTTTGCTGCCCAAGAGACAAAGTTGAGGCTACTATGTGGGTACTTACATGATAAGAGAGAAAACAAATTTGCACAAAGTTTTTATTAGTAGAATTCAAAATATAATAATGAGGCCAGGCATGGTGCCTCACACCTGTAATCCCAGCACTTTGGGAGGCCAAGGCAGGCAGATCCCCTGAGGTCAGTTTGAGACCAGCCTGGCCAATGTGGCAAAACCCCATCTCTACTAAAAATATTTAAAAAATTAAAGCCAGGCGGGGTGGCTCAAGCCTGTAATCCCAGAACTTTGGGAGGCCAAGGAGGGTGGATCACCTGACGTCAGGAGTTCAAGACTAGTCTGACCAACATGGTGAAACCCCATCTCTATAAAAATAAAAAAATTAGGCGTGGTGGTGGTGCATGCCTGTAATCGGAAGGCTGAGGCACAAGAATCTCGAACCTGGTGGGGCAGAGGTTGCACAGAACCAAGACCACACCACTGCATGCCAGCCTGGGTGACAGAGTGAGATTCTGTCTCAAAAAAATATATATGTGTGTGTGTGTGTGTATCTAAATATAAATGAGTTCAATTTTTGTAATAAGTCTATTAAGAATGGAATTCTGATTTTGGGGAGTATAATTTCACTTAATTGGGGCTCAAAGTTAGCATTGCCT